TGTCTGCAGGGCGTGTCCTGCTGATTGAAAAAGCCCTTGCTCCACCAGTAAGGCATCTCATGTCAGAAGGGTGGTGTCCCATGACTGCTTGTTAGGTTAGTCCTCTAGAAAGGACTCATGCCATGTCATTTCACTGAATCCGGACCCCAACCTCCTTTCTCTTCCAGAGAGCAATATTAACCTCAGATCCTCTGTGTTTCAGAAAGAAACAGCAAATGATTAATTAACACAGCTGAGACATTTGTTAACTCGCCTCCATTTGGAGTGTGCTGCGACGATAGCATTTGCCCATGGTTGTGTAGGAGGATGATAAAGTCTTTCCACAAGATAATATGTGAGCCTACTGAACCACAAAGAAGAAATATGATACTGAAATACAACTGAGGCTACCCCTGTATTCCTTTATCATGGTTTCTGTGCTGAAACAAGAAAGGAGATTATATTTCCATACATGTTATGCTCAGCTAGCTAGGTTTCATCAGTATAAGAAGGGGGAAGGCTGATGGCTCCTTTCTGTCTCATCCTTTTTAGTAGATGCACAGGGCAGCCCCATGATCATATAATCCAGAATTCAATAAAGTCAAGCAAAGAGCTGGGTTTACTGCCATTTCCTTGTCTCCCTCTGGTTCCCTTGCTTCCCAGTTTCAGCCAGAACAAGAAGTGAACTTGCCAAAATACTGCCAGAAGCTGTTCACTCACTTTGCTGTGTTATTTGAATTTTAAAAAAAATAATAATAATCTGGGAATAGTAGCTGAGGGACAGCCAGTGCAGCTTGCTTATAGATGAAGACAATGGGGACCTCTTGCCTTATTGTCTCTTTTCACACTGTTTCAAATTCCTTCTTTCCCTACTTGTAGGCATTTTAAGGCTATGCAAACCTGAATGATAAATATAAAATTAACTTTAAATGACACCTACCTGCAGAGCTCTGTATTTTTTTTTCAGAGACTCATTTATACTCCTGTTCAAGTGTGCAACTGTCTGGTTACAGGTAGAGTGATGTCTGAGCAGGTGAGAGTGAAGATCTCTCTTTTTGAACCTCCTGGGTTGTGTGTGGGTGAGTGGCTTTATTGATGCAGAAGAGTTCAGTTATCGGTTTCAAAGCTGACTTACTTAAATTACTATGAAGTCCCATGTTTTGGGGGTGTTGGTTATAGCCATTGGGGGTGTTGGTTATAGCCATGTTGATCTAAGGACATTGGCAGGTAAGGTTCTGTGGGTAAATGTGATATCTTTTATTAGACCAACCAAATAGCTGGAAAAATCGTTTTTTGCAGGTTTTCAGGCACAAACACCCTTCTTCAGACATAGGGAGAGTCTGCCAGTGCTTGTGTGCTCTCCAGGGTGGAACAGAAGCATAAGCCAATATGCAAAATGCAGGTCTATGAAAATGCAAATGCATGGCAGGGAAGATCAGAGAGGATGGGAGACAATGGCCGCATACAGACGAGTGCAGATATGTTGTATGTAGCACCGCAGAACCATCGGCAGGGCCACACACTACACATGCAGGCATACCCCACATTGCTACCTTGCTGCATGGGGTGGGGGTTGACTCCGGGACATCCCCGAGGACAAGTAGCACAAAGTGTGACACTGCTACTTATCCCCAAGGAAACCCCGTGTCTTCACTCATGTGGACATGACCAATAGGCGCGAGACAGGAAGCTTTGTGAGGGGAAGAGTGAGGTGTTGACCTGGTGCTAGAATGTAGCCGGTAACATGTCGAGAGGCTACCCGGGGTTATCGGATGGCAGGCAGGTTATAACGTGCCATAAATCCAATGTCTATATTTAGTCCATGCTTTGTTGCATCCACTAGATTTATGAAGGTTGTTGGCTCTTCTACAAAAGGTGTTTTCCAACAATTCCAAAATAGTTTCCAACAATTTTTCCAACTATTTAGTTGGACCCCTGCTGACTTCCTGCTCTTGGACTCAATGATCTTCCGAGGTCCCTTCCAGCCCGAATCTATGAAGTCTATGAAATCTACCCAAAGAGATTTGTCTGCTTATGAAGTCCTGTTGCAGGTGTCCTTCCTGTTGCTTTAAGAGTGGGTTATTTTCATAGGATATTTAGAAGTGGAAGAGCCTTTGTGGTTCACCTAATCTAACCCCCTACAGAGATGCACACCCACTTCAGCAGAGAAGAACTGTTTTGCTATCTTTTTTATGGCAGCCTTTCAAATATTTGCCAACTGCTGTTGCAACCCCTCCCAGTCTGCATCTTCTGCACATTTGGTCAGAATATAGTCTGTTCCTCCATCCAAGTCATTAAGAAAATAGCTCCCAGCACAGACATCTTTGGAGCCCCACTTGAGACATCCTGCCAGTCTGAAATCCACCCATTAGCAGATACTCTTTGCTTGTGGTTATTCAAAGAATAATTAATCCATGTTATGGTAATTTTGTGGAGTTTACATTTCTCTAGTTTACTTATGAGAATAGCACATGGGACTGTGCTGAAAGCTTTATTAAATTCCAGATAAATTATTTCCACCAAATTTTCTGTAGTCATCAAGCCCGTTCAAAGAAGGAAATCAAGTTGCCTTGTAAGGATTTACACTCCGTATTGGTTATTACAATATATGGATAAAAACCCTTTTATCTTCAAGATATTTATAAATTCACTATTCTATAAATAGTTCAAATAACTTCTTAGGTATTAGATTCAGATTGACTAGTCTATAATGAGTATGGATCTCCTTTCCGCCCCTCTACTCCATTTTTTTTTTTTAAAGATGAGCACTATACGAGTCTTTCTCTAGTCCTTTGGGACCTCAGCTGTCATCTATTAATTTAAAAATATTATTGCCATTTGCTCTGTGTGGAGCCCTGAAAGACTGCTTTCCTGACCTTATATTAATATGTTTGCATACCTAATATATCCCAATATACACAATACCTACTACTGACTATCACACCATTTATCGTCCAGCAAGACTTCATATTGTTAGTGTTTTTGCTGAGTGCAATCCAAAACATTTGTGGAACGGGAAATTATTAGTAATTACAGTTTTGTATTGTTTAGAAACTGTAGTTCTCAGTTCAGGATCCAAATCCTACAAGGACAATTTGATTGTGGCATGAAGTTTTGCCTTCCAAAAGACACAATTTTAGCCTGAGGATCTTGTGCCCACTTTGCTTCCAAAAGGCATTACAGCAGTGTTAAAATAAGTACAAATTCAGGATTTGAATGAATGTACACATGTATGCATTCATAGGACTGCATGAACAACACTGCTATAGTTCATGTGGTTTTGATGTGCTACCAATGAATCCTTTGCAATGAAAATCATGATAATAATGGGCAAAGTAATCTATCTGTATATTTTTTCCAACTAAAATTATTTAATAGTATTATTATATTAAAGCTGGGTAATTTGCCTGGGTTGTGCTGATGCTCCTACAGGAACTAAAGCCTGGAGGTTCCTGGTTAGAGGGACTTGCCCCTCCACTCAGATCCCTCAGGTGTTTTTTAACAACACTTGCAGTAGCAGGATGTTAACACTGTCCTCATCCCCCTGCTTCATCTATGGCAGGTTAAGTGTTCGGGGTCAATGTGCTTTGTAGCTGTTTGTGTAGTTTTTAGAGTCGGTTAGGCCAGTGGTTCTCCACCTTTTTTGTACCAGGACCCATTTATAAGCATTGATGGCCAGTCCTGACCCAGTGCACCTTGCTCCTGACCCGCTGTCCCCCATCCCCAGACCTCAACCCTGCCATTGGGGGGGCGGGAGGAGCAGCTGCTTGCAGGCTGGCACTCTGACAACCTGCAAGGGAAAAACCAGTTTCCCATGTTTTTCTCTTTAAAAAGGAGAATCTATTTTTAGCATTTGTTCGCACCCCTTCCATATATTCTTGCAAGCCAATTTTGGGCCATGACCCGCAGGTTGAGAAATGGGGGTTAGACAACCAATTGTATGGGGTGGTTTGGATAGGGATGCTCTTGCCTTGAGCAAGGGGCTGGACTAGGTGAGGTCCTGAGGTCCAGCACATGCTAGGCACATGGCACTTCAAGCAGAAACACTCGGTTGTGATCTCAGAGAGGTTTAGACATGGGGGCTGACACAGGGGGCAAGAATGTAGGTTGAGAGTCTCATTGAGCATGGGGTAAATCAAAGGACAAGTTGGGACATACTTCTTAGCTTCTCCCTTGCCAGAGCAAGTTACTACAAGCCTGTTGGAGCCACTTACACTGGGCATCTTACCCAGCTATTCTGGCCAGGGATACTGGGAGAGAGACCCAAATCTGTTCCCATTCCTGGCCTCCTTTTGCTATGTTCCTTATAGAAGCCCCCAATAATTTCTACATCTCCCCCACAGGTATCACATGCTTCACTTGAATACTCTTATAGTGCATATTTATATTGTTGCTATTTTTATTATTCAGTAGCATCCACAGGCTCTTCCTTAGATCTGGACCTAGTCATAAGAAGCATTGCAAACTTTCCATGCTCAGGAGCTCTGCAACCACCCAACTGCCCTGCCTCCTGTCTAGGCAAGAGCACACGCAGTCCCACATGGCATGGAGAAGGCACCACACCCAGGCATCATAAATCTGTGATCAAGTCATGGCTAAAGAGTCCCTTGTACTCTGACCTGCGTCTAAATGGACAAGACCTGGGTCTAAAAGTACTCTGACCTGGGTCTAAATGGACAAGACAGCTAAGGCCAAAGAACAAGAATATTATCGTTCCCATTCCACTGGTAAGGAATGTAATGAGGCTATGCAAAATGAAATCATATTGTGTCGAATGGCAGGTTAAAAAAAAAAATCAAGAATCATAATCATTAAGTGTGTTAGCACAACTGATTTTGTTTATTTTTCAACCAATCGAAAATGCAATCATGCTGTATTTACATAGACAATACATTGGATAATATACCAAATGTACACAAGAGAGAAAATGGTATTCCATATCTGTTTGATTTTCACTTTTCTGTACTGTACATGTGTTAAACTGCCTGATATATATTCATATCCATCTCAATCATTTTTGACAACTGGATTAATACCGTTTCTTTAACAGGACAATGAAGCAAAAATAATATCCACTCATTGCTTGGGTGAACTGGCTGTGTGCGATCTTTTACACCGATTCCCCCCAGGCCTAATTCCTCACATAAAGGCAATTCATTTGAGTTTAGGATAGGTTTTATGAGCACATATCTGCTTAGACTATATACTTTGGTTAGTATACAAGACCATCTACAGCTATGTATTTCTCAGGCCATATAAAGTAGCACGAAAAACAAAAACAGAAAATAGTCCTTTCACCTTTTTAAGTGTTCATTTTCTCTGCATTTCCAGTGTCGTTTATTTTGTCTACCATTTATTACAGCCCTTTTGATGTATTTTCCTCTCTTATTTTCTTACAAAACAGTCTATTTATCTATCTGTATAAAATATATATATATATTTATAACAAGAAATGACCCCAAAATTTGTTTAAGCACACGCATTTATTTTTGTGCCCATTTAGAATATATACTGCGTATATATACTCTACTTTGAATGTCGTTGTCCCTGAATTTCCTAGTCTTACCTACTAAAACAAGGAATTTTATTTTCTGTTTTGTTTTAAGATGCACAGTTATATATGCAAGATTAACAAAAGCAGAGCAGCCACAGGAAGAGACAAATCCTTTTTTTACAGGTCATCAGTTTGATCTTGTTCATTATCTTTACTTTATGGTTTGGTTTGTAGTGACTAATTCCCTAGAATCAGAGCATTTGAATTTCGTGTTGTATCTGCTAGTCCCAAAGAGCGAGCATAGGCATGTACAGGGAAAGCTCAAGGCTGGAAGATGTAAATGGATCTGGTACTTGGAGATGCCATGTTGCTCTGGACCATATATGCTATGGTGTGTTGGGAATCACATACAATTTGACAAGCTCAGGCTCAATCCAAATAATTTCTAGCTGGTTGAAAGGCCTTTATTTCTACATCATTTTATTTGGGCCCACAGCTGGGGAAATTCTTCACATGATCATCATGCGCATTATATCAATACTCTATTTTACAGCAATACTTTCTGCTTAGTAAAATCCCCATTCTAGTTATACATAGCTATGTTTCCAAGCAGTCTAATCTCACAGCACTAAGACTGGTCATATGAACACTGTTGTGGTATATCTAAAGGATCCCCTTGAATATGATGCCATAAGCTAGGGGGGTTACAACTTTAACCTGACCCTCTAGCTCACACATCGGTGCCTAATGATTTTAGCTCATACTTGAGAGCCCCAAGTAAAAATGCCTTGAAAGATTGGGAAAGAAAAAAAAATAGAAAACTGTAGTGAATTAAAAACCACTGTAAAGTACTCCTTGCTTGTTTAGAAAGAGTCCATAATACTGATACATGTTTTTTTCCAGAAATCAATACATTTCTATCTATAATTCTTCTTTATTTTGGCTTCATCTCCACCCGAGAGTTAACCTCATCGCCATCCAGGTCATACTCTTCTACTTGGCCACTGGTCCACACCTTCATACGGTCAGTCAGGTCACTGGTTCGGGGAGCCAGGATGAAGTCATAGATAAGGGCAGCGCTCAGTCCTCCAATGATTGGCCCGACCCAGAAGATCTGAAATGTAACATCAGGCACCTCTTTCAATGCTGCTTATTCAATCAGTCATTCATCCTAGAACTATTCTTGAAAACACCCTGTATTTGCTATATGCTTACATATTCAATTTGATCAAGAAAGGCTCCCTAGGTTCTTGTTCAGTCTGGGAGGTGGGAACTCTTTAGTACTAATCCTCACATTGATACTGACTTGTTGTGCATTTTTTTTTTTTTTTGGGGGGGGGGGGCAACTAACGTCATGAGCCTTGAAAACACAAATTGAAGCAACTGCATGGAAAACATGACGCACGTATCTAATTAAATGTGGTCTGATTGTCAATGAGGTCATGAGAGATGCGTGAGCTCACTGTCTCTAAAAACCATGCTATATTTATGCTGGGATAACATTTACAAAAGCGCCAGAGACATAAACATCGTATCCCACTGATGCTCGATAGGCTTTTGGCTGTTTCAAAAATTTTACCCAAGATGCCTATTAGGGATTAGAGACAAAATCCAGAGGGTCCAGAGGATCCTTTGGTACGTATAAAAATGATGCACTCGTTCCCAGGTGGGTGAGTTAGAGAAACAGGGCTGTGCGTGTAGGTTTTCTTTCAAGTTAACGGAGAAAGTTAGGCAATCCACAGACTCTCACAAAATCCTGTAGATGGGGCCCATAGAAAATGCTGAGCACGGTGGTGGTCAGAAACCCCTGACTGAATGAAAGCTGTACAGAGTGCCTTGATCCAGTTGGGTGCCTAGGCCTGGCATCCTCTGTGATAGCACTGCCCACCCCCCACTTTGGTTTATAGTGCATCTATTTTCTTTTCCAAAGCATGTATTTGTGCAATCAACTTTTACTAGCACAAATGTTCCTGGAAAGTGAGCTTCAAAGTCATTTAAAGTAGCGCTGGAAGAAATCAAATGGTAAGCTCTCATGCAAATGCATTTATCTCAACATGTATCTAGTGAAGGAACAGCCCCCTCATCATGTTAGTTCAAGTGAATGATTTTATTCGAAGTGCTTTGGACATTAACAATTCTGATGGGGTTCACCGGTGCCCCTAACTAAAGCAGGGCACCTGGCAGAGCTGCCCTGGGCACCAGTTTGAGGAGGGGGTGAGGAAAAGAGAGGCTCTAACCACTGCCACACAATTGCACTAGCCGTGCAGCAGCAACCAGAAGTCACCATTGCCCCAGTGCGGAGCAGCTGCCATGTGCTTCAAGCCCCAGTGTTACACCAGTAGTATTCGCCATTCTAAGTCATAGCAAAGATCTCTGAAATATATAGTAGTGTCAAAATCCTAATGCCAGAAAGCATTTAAGCAGTTGTTTAACAGAATTAAACATATGCATAGTCCTATTGACTTCAAAGTAACTTTATGTGCTTAAAGTTATTCATGTGTTTATGTGCTGTCATGAGTCTAAATCTCAGTATTTACTGTGCTCATAAGCCACAACTCAGAAATACAGCTTGAAGGCCACATTATTGGCTTGGTACTATGGATAATATATGTTTTAAAATGCGTGTTTCCTATGCCGCTATTTTATATCATCTCTCATCCATGGGCTGGGACGAACTTGAATAATAATTATGACCATGATTTAAGGATTTAAGGTCCATAACATAAATTCCAGTGTGCAATAAAACCTGTTTAACTTACCCAGTGATTAGTGAAGTTATTGGCAATCAAAGCTGAACCAAAAGATCTTGCTGGGTTAATGCCACAACCAGTGTAATCAATCTATAAGACACACAAAAAAAAGAATTGCTGTTAAGGAAGATATCCAGAATACAAGGTGTCCTACAAATGCAAAACTCAATAGTGAAATAGAGTGAAAGGTGTATTTTGTGATTCACAGCCGGTCCATAATGCAATTCGGGTTGGAATTTTCTAACAAGTCTTGGACAGAATGGAATAAAAAAGAAGACTGAATCCATCCATTGAAAGCAGAGGAGAACTGTCCATAATGAAACACAAGTGAAATGCTGGCCCCACTGACATCAATGGGAACTTTGCCACTAACTTCAATAGAGCTATGATTTCACCTCCAGCTCCTGTGAATCGGTGTAGCTCTACAGATTTAACTGGACTGATGCTGATATGAACCTCATGATGATATGGTCTGGCACCTCTGGTTCTTTGGTTTATGGCAGTCTCTCTTACTGACATAAAGTAATATGTGTAAATTATTCCAAAATCATCTATGACAACTTACAAAGTCCATAAAGGCATCAGGCCAGATCCTATCTCAGGTACTAAGTGCCTGAATAGCAAGAGGTAAACGAATCTTCCTCTTTCTCACTAAATTGCGTAGTTCAGGTTTGCAGCTAAGATGAAAGTGCTTGACGAAGGAAGACACTTTGCTTTTCAGGGACCACAGCAGGGTGGAATAGGACTGAATTTATACACTCAACACAACACAGGCGCCTAATCAGTCGAACAGAATTTATCCATTATCTGGATCCCAAGTGTTTAACATCTAGATTATATTTAAAAAGGACAGGTCACACGAGAGATGATGCTAGACCAGGGTGAGGATTAAGAGATTTTCATACAAGGAAGGCACAATGTGGCTTGGCTTCAGGAAAGCTAGTTCCTTGTTTTAGCTAATTTGCTATAATTTAGTCTTTCTCCAAAATGTTGATATGGATGAGTGAGTGTCAGTCATGGGCTGACAAACCAGGGAAAAGGGTCTGTCCTTGGAGGAAGAGGTTGAAGAAAAAGAAAAAGGAAACTCAATATACGGAATCTGAGACAATACTGTAGGGGAAATCAGAGTTAATATGTTCGTGTTAAAAGGAAATAATTTGGGTATAAAAAGAAGCAGAAATGGTCTATGGCTGGTGGCTTTCATCTCTGAAGATCCTGGGTTCAGTCTTCAATGAAGTCTAACAGGATGGCTGCTGCTTTTGGAAAAAGAAATAGACTTTGGACCGCCCTCCTTAAACCTTTATAATGTTATAATAATGTCTCAAAGCACTGTCTTAAACAACCGTGCCACCCATGCTTCCTAAGAGTGCGGTATCCTCATAAGTGTGTGTGTTTCACAGATAATATGTTCAGTCTTCAACTGGCAGAGCTGATGAACCTATAACAGTCGTGTGAAACAATGATAATGGATATTCAAGGGGAAGAGGGGGCAGCTGCTATGAGCCCAGTATTTCTGTAAGTAGGTGGGAAATGATGGCATTGTAATCACGATCAGAACGAACCGGTCATTCCTGGAAACATTCTCCCAAATCCAATGATATAGGACATCACTGAGTACCTATTATACAATGACATTTAAAACTTACAGCAAGAAGATGCCCTAAGGCAACAGAGAGCCCGATGGCCAGAGGTGCCGATCCTGTGACATCGTTCCTTCTCCGGTCTGTAGTAGCCAGGACACACAACACCAGCTGCAGGGTGGCAATAATCTCAATACCCAGCCCCTGTCCTAAATTGATTCCATTTGCAAGCTGTACGGAAACAAGAGGAGGCCAGAGTTAAAAGTCTTTGTAGTCATTAGATCACTAATTATAAATGCCAGGCCCGTCAGACAACATATTCCCTCCTATTACTTGTATTTGACTAAACACTAGTAAACGTGGACTCTTTTAAGAAACAGTTGGACACCTATCTTGCTGGGATCCTTTGACCCCAGCTAACTTCCTGCCCCTAGGCAGGCGGCTGGACTCGATGATCTTCTGAGGTCCCTTCCAGCCCTAGTGTCTATGAAATCTGTGAAAAACCCAGAGTTGAAGTATTCACACTCATCAAGTGTGAATGGCACCTTTAGCAGATAATAATATAAAGCTACAAATACAAGCAGCCCCGTTGACACTGTAGCTCATAGTAATACATCCTATGGCAATTTTCTGCAATGAGAATGTAATTGGTGTGCATATGAGAGACAGCGGGCGCAACTACACAAGATGCTAAATGCGCAGTAAATTAATTCTACTGTGCATTAGTGCGTCACGGCAAAAGCCGTGCTATTGCGCTAATGCTCAGTAGAATGAGTCTACTGTACGTTAGCACCACTTAAAAGGCAAGTGTTGGCACTACTGCACAGTAGCACTGGTTACTGCCTACTTAGTTAGTACCTGTTATAGAGGTACTAAACTTAATGTGCCATAATCACAGTGCATTAATACACATGTAGATGTGCCCAGAGGGAACATGACATTTGCCATCTAGAGGTTTATCCAGTGAAGCGGGCATCCACATGGCAAAAAGAACATCCATGTAACAAAAATATAAGCACTCAGTGGTGACACTTAGGGGATGCACGGGAGATGCAGTCACTGACTGGTCGCTGGGGGGGCACATGCCCCCGCAACTACGGTGGCACCAGTCGTCCATGTAAGCACTTGCTGCTCTCTGAAGTAAAACAGGTTCTGCCACTGAACCAACACACATGGTTCTAAACATACAAATCTCACTTGCACAGGTATATAAGACCATCTCATTAAAAGCAATGGATCTGCGCCCACACACAATCAGTAGGAATTATATCAAGCCATCCATTTTAAGGACATTGCTAAGGAATTTGAAATTGATATTCTGCCCTTTGTTTTAGAAGCCTCTTGGGAGACTAGTGCTCAGCAAACCAGCAGTGCCCTGAAAAATAATGCAAAATGTGGCTTAGGACAAAAGAACAAATGACAGCAAGTTACAAAGGGAGTAAGGACTTGTCAGCTAATTGGAAGTAAATGGAAACTAAACAGCAGTAGCCTAGCCCTCTTTCACTGAGGGGTGATCTACCACCACTACCAAGTTAGACAGACACTTGGCTAGGATGATTTAGGCACAATCTTGTCTTGAGCAGGGGCTTACATAACCTCATGAGCTGCCTTCCAGTCCTATGATCCTATAAATGTACTTTCCTGCCACTGTCATGTCAAAATATTATAAGTTGTGCTTTTGTCTCTCTTGCCCTTTACCCACGTGGTCATGCAAGAGGAATCAGACTAGATGTCCTTGCGGACCCCTTTTGGAAAACTGGTTTCCTGCAAATTCAAGGGACTCGACTCCATGATTCAAGAGGCCTCCTCCAGTACAGTGTTTCTGGGTTGCTATGTCCCTAACAAGAATAAACATGCTCTACATAGATTAAACCCAATGCCAATGTAATCAGTAGGTTATCTCATTTGTCACAGCGTCTGCACTAAGTGTGCAGGGCCGCATATGTGAATAACATATTTAAACAATATTGTGACTTGTTTAGAAGAAGAAAAATACAAGCAGTCATGCTGCTCATAAAATTTCCAGCCTAATTTCCTGCAGACAACCATCTGTATAACTTCAGATAAGTAACCAAACTTTTGGACTTTCTTCCAAACCCGCTGACTTTCATCCTTTACTAGTTGCTTTCCTGTTTTGCCTCTTTTATTAAGGAATATTTTTTTGTAAATGAGTGCCTCTCTAGAAAACCACTAAGACAAATAGGCTGCATTGTATCCTTACCCAGCATAAATCACCATAGCTCCATTAAAGTCAGTGAAACTACATCAATTTCCACCAGCTCAGGATCCAAGTCATTATAATATATATATATATTTATAGGTCACTCATGAAAGTGTTAGATCAGTAGTTCTGGAGTTAAAAACCATCTGCTTATCCACAAATCACTAACCAACATCAAATGTAATCATATGGGGGGCAAGGGTTGCAGTGTAGATATCCATCCTGTGAAAAGTGGATTGAAACAATCAAGCACCATGAATAGTAGTAACATCTGGTAAGTACCAACCTGAACTGAATATGTATTAGAGATTTAGAAGTTAAATCTCCATAGCCTGGGTATCCATAATAAACCCTTGCACCACACACACCACTCTGCTTTAGCTATAGTTTCTTCCCCAGATATTCCAAAAAGGAGTATGCACTCTTTTCCTTCAAATCCTCCCTTTAAAAATAAAGATCTTGGGGGGTCTTTAAGAGGAGACTGGACAAGCATCTGGCTGCAATCATCTGATCCCAGCGCTTTTTCCTGCCCAGGGCAGGGGATCGCACTCAATGATCTATTGAGGTCCCTTCCGACCCTAACGACTATGAAACTATGAACTAATCACTTTATGTATTGCAAAAACAATGGAGCATCTAAGTCAAATACAGCAAGATCTAACGAACCCTTAAGTCACCCAAACAAGACTTGGGCAGAAATGACATGCCTAAGTCACAAAGGGCAGCCCTAATTGAATCTGTTCAGCAATGGTAGGGGTCAGAAGCCAAGTTGACCCCTGGGCAACAAGCTTTCTTTTAAACACTAGCCCATAGAGTTAAGCTGCCACTTGCTTACTGTCTTTCTGGACCTATGCATCTTCAACTCTCAGCTCTCCAGGGACACCTTCAACAAGACAGGAGGGTGCCCAAATAACCTAGCCTACAGCCACTTGTTAAGGGCAGGTTCTGGGAAAGTAGTTGATGTGGGTTTGAATCCTGTCATAGCCTAGACCTCAGGACTCCTTCATGCCTGGGTTAAAGCTGTTGCTACTTGACAAAAAGTAGGTATTACTGTCACTACCATTCAAATATCATTCATCAGTAAATAGCTTGTGCTCCGCCTCGTACTAAACTCACAGCTGTTGTCAGTTAGGGCCTTCTGGTAAAGGCCAACATCTTCCCTCTCAGTCATCTGGATCCCAACCTGCCCAAACACTTCCCTTGTAGTCTGGAGTCAGACATTTCACACTGAAGAAGAGCAGGAACTCAGACGCACCCAATGTCTAGTGTTGCTATTAGTTAGCTGTAGATAAGAGACCTGGCCATGTGGATCAGCCTTCAGAAGCCACATATGAGAAGCCAAGGTACCTAATCCTGCCAATTAAGATTGCCTCTTACCTTTTAGGTATTGTAACAGCTAAGTGGAAACACCTTACAGGCTGATTCAGATCTGGCCCTTAGACTTCAATGATATCCATTGAAATCACTAGGAGTTTGGTAGCTAAATACCTAGACCTCAGGCTCTTTAGCTACCCCACCTATATATTTTATTTTCCAGGCAGAATATCCAAATTTAGGAGCCAGTTGGACATATGTCCAAGTGACATGCAGGCACTCAAGTAAGGACATAAGTGGGGAAACCAACTTTTAACACAATACCACTGATAATCCATGGGGGATTTAGCTGGTTTCCAAATTCTAACTTTCACATCAAAGTTTGAATATTTTGGCCCCAGTGGTTGAAACTTTTAATAGCTGAACAACCACCAAACTTTCCTGTCACTTCAAAGGAACTCAGCTATTTTTAAAAAAATGTAGAGTAAAAAACAATTCAGATTCTTATCTTAGAGAGATGGGAATTGGTTTTTTTCCTTCCCCTCCCATTGCCTGATAAAAGATATCCCATGATCAAAATGAAACCAAGGTCATTCCCCATGTTAATCAGCACTTGTTGGTGGGCTCTGGGGCATCAAAGAAAACCTGGAAATGTCATAGGAAACCTCTTGCTTTCCCTCTAGCCTGGTTTTGTCAGATGTAATTATATACGGTTTGACAAGGACATAAATTTCTACTGGAATAGCAAGGAGTCTGGGCCTTGTTCCAAAACATTACAAGCCAGGGGCAAACATTGGAAGGCCTGTCCTGTCTTTGTATTTGCTTGGCCTGATATAAGTAAATATTCATAGGATTCATAGATGTTAGGGTCGGAAGAGACCTCAATAGATCATCGAGTCCAACCCAGTATGGTGCTATAGGGATCTCTTTACCTATTTATCTATATTGTCTGTCTGTCGGTAGAAAGCATAGTGTCACTACAATAGTATAAAATGCTCTAGACCAAGGGTTCCCAAACTTTTTCTTATTGCATACCCAGTTCCAGACTTGCCAGCTGCCCGTGCACCCCTACCAGCATATATTTTATATTTTAACCCCTTAAATCCCAATTTTATTATAATGAAAATTAAATCTGCCATTACACAATTTCTCATGTGTACCCCCAGAGATGTCTTGTGTACCCCCGTGGGTTCACATGCCACAGTTTGGGAACTCCTGCCCTAGACACGTCACAACAGCCTTCAACCTTCTGCTAAAATGAAGCCAGATATATCCTCAGGCCAAATCTACCACCCTGCTCTGAGCAGTCCTCTACTGGAGTGTTTCTGGGCTCCCCAATGAACACCTCATTAAGATGCATGAGGTCTTGGAGCTACTTTTTTCATGCGCTCAGCTTTCTTGGGCAGACATAGCTATACTGGTGAGCCTCAGGGCATGCTTTTTATGGTTTTCTTTGCAACCATAAAGGTAAATAACTGGCTTTCTTTTGAAATGGAGGCTTAAGTATTTGTCTAACCATCTGCCTCCAGAAGCTGGGGGTCTAGGCATGGCAGGAGACTGTCTTTGCCTTATTCTGAACCCAGTAGCATACAATAATATAGCCTGGAACAAAACCCACTATCTTTAACAACTATGTAATGAGAAATAGCATTGACAATACCCATAAAAACTGGAGATCACCATGTTAAATTAGACC